CCGTCAATGACACTGACAGCAAGACCGGGAATAGACTGCGTAAAAACAGCCTCTCATCACTCCTTTTTGTGGATCTTAATCGGACTTGATTCCTTGTAACCAGACTGGCATGTTTTATAAGTGAGCCCCCCCGGAAAGCCGAGGTATAGTTCGCACACTGGTCAAAATCCAGTTTGTCCATTCACAGCTACCCTGAGATATCAAGAGAATAATATGCTAACCAGCCAGCGATGGTACTGGAGTCCAAACAATATTCAATAATCAATTCTTACAAGCAAAACCAGCCACCTATAACATCACAGGGTTGTATTCTGCTTGCTTAAAATGTGTCATCCTTCACTCCCTTGTCTTTGGCTTCTTATTAACTCAGCATCCAAAAATTACCTGCCATTATTAAGACTGTTCAGATGGTTAAAAAACGTGTGAAGGAGCCTTCATACCTCCTCACCTCTGCCCATTAGTGACGTACGACAACAGGATACACAGTTGTCCTCTCAATGCTAAAACGTGATCAGTATCAGCTGCCTCTAATAATCAGAGGTGGTGAGTAACATTCATTCAACACAGTGAAGCTGTTTCTCTTCTCACCCTTACTTCTCTGATCACTCTGTCACAGTTGATTTTTGCTTTCACGCACCAACGTGCTTATGTTCTAGCTCTTATGTGCCTGGTGGGTCTGTGCAGCTTTTTCTGCAAAATAAAAGTGCATGCTCATCTCCTGTAACAAGGTCCTGATAGAGCTAGGTTTTCTTTTTCCAGACTTTAATAGAGTATGCTTTCAGTTTATTGTAATGTTAAATGTTTACTGCAAGTGGTGACAGATGCAACTAAGTCGCACTTTACGGATACTGAAATGAAACTTTTGGATCAGTACAAGTAAGATGACTGAACTGTAATTTAACATTTACAACTTCAACAGGATGCACCTAAATCGCCATAGTGGTCCAATTGGCTAACTAATTAAATGGAAATCATCAATGGTGTGTAGTCAAGAGGTTTAAATTGATAGAGGTGTACAAATACACCTCTATTCTTGGGACTGGGGATGGATATAAGACTGATACAATTGGCTAAGGAATTGAGTAGATGGTTCCGTAATTGGGTACACAAGAAGGCTTAATGAAGGAGTAAATTGCTCTGTAATGGAGTCAATGGCTTGGTAATGGAGTAAATGGCAAAGTAATGGAGTAAATGGTTCATAAATTGAATAGATGACTCAGTATTTGAGTAAACAGCTATGGAATTGAGTAGATGGTTCTGTATTTGGATACACAACATAGCTTAATAAAGGAGTAAATGGCTCTGTAATGGAGTCAATGGCTTTGTAATGGAGTAAATAGCTAAGTAATGGAGTAAATGGCCAAGTAATGGAGTACATGTCAAAGTAATTAATGCAATACTACATTCCTCCAGCAGACACAAAAATAGAGGAGCCAAGCTGAGAAGCTGGAGGAGGCTCCAACAGTCCGTCCGTCTATTCTAGGTCAGTCCCACCTACCCACCACGTCCACAGCAACAGATGTTTTCACATTGATCCTCCCTCAGAGTGCAGACATGGCCTCCATCCCGTTCTCTGTTCTGTTCCCGTTCAGGAAAGGCACCTCTCTGAGCATTGTCTAAAATAAGCAGATGACCAGTGTTCTTACATTTTTCTCAGACTTACGCAGTAACAGATGTACACTGGGACTCCAGAGTCAAATGTTGACCAAACCATATCTTCTGTTACCACCTATTTTTTTAAACTCTTGCACAAACAGCTGAATGGGTTAATAAGGAATGGGAGAAAAAACAACATGACGTTGGTACAAGCAACATTACTATTAACGTCTTACATTTAAGACGATCTGATACAAATCTAGATACATGGACTACGATACCATTCAGGGGGCGTTTTGACCCAACTGATCAGGCATCTGTCTCTGCCCCATTGCTCCTATCATAGACTATTAGATAAAAAAACAGTGTGCCTTTTTGTCACCAAAGACTTCAATGTATTAAAGCTTGAGGTGCTCTGAGTATTACAGCAGATGTGTTAGGGGCATGTGGCATATCTGCAGCTCTGATGGATTAGTTCTGGATTTATCATCACTATAGAGCTGTAAAAATACAGCTTGGGAAAAACGACAGTCTTGCACATTGTCAGTTGTGGTCTGGATGGACTTTGAAAGGCTGCTCCAGGTGTTTCTTGTTTTAAATTTGGGAGATAGGTTAAACTGGTTATGCAGCCATTCCCTGTGCAGCCATGAACCGCTTCAATTATTAACCACACCAATCCTCTGCTGAATTTGGATAAGGTCATCTCTGCAATTATTTCCTTTCACTTAGTATTATGTAATTCCCTCCACACCTTCCTGTCATGGCTGCAGTCTGTCCAGAAAGTTGCACCATGGCTTCTGTTAAAAGTTCATGCCACTGGCTACTTGTCATTTGAGTATACTTAAAGATCTTATTGCATTTCAACTACTGCAATAGCTAGGCCGCCTTGACCTAAAATAAACAAATTAGACAACATACAATGAAAGTACACACATCCTTATCATTAATTTAAAGGTCCAGTGTAACATGTAGGATCATCTCTTGGCAGAAATGGAATATAATATTCATAGGTATGTTTTCATTCGTGTATAATCACCTGAGAATGAAAATAGAAAAGCTCCCACTGGCTCCCCTGTCATTCACACACTCAAAATAGTGCCTAGGCATATGTTATTTTTATTTCAGGTAGGGGACTATTCCTTATTTATCAGAGGGGAGTGAATGGCTGAGGTGAGACTTGGTTTTTGTTGTTTTCCCTGAGTGACTAGGGGAACATGCATGACCCTCCCTCCACTATAAATAACCATATTTTATTATATTCACACCGAAGGTAGATAGTATTGGAGAAAATAAAAAGCAACGGCTGACCTGTCAACCATTACAATTAATAGCAAACCGTGGCCCTCTGAGGCCTCTTCCGTGGTCATTAAAAAAAGCAAACTACCAGCCCAACTTACTGTGTCCTCACAGAACTGCAAGCGTTACGTTTAACAGTTCCAGCTCTGAAACAAAATGAAGATGCTCACATTAATGGTCCGACCAATGCAACAATCAAACAGCACGGAGGGAGAGAGGTTGACAGCTCAAGCTAAATACAAATCCTCCTTACATTGCATTATCATACAAGCTGTGTGTGCACTTCAGCAGAATACGGTGCATGACTGCCACGCGTCCCACCACACAAAACCAACCACATTGAATATACAGTATACACACATAAACACACATTTTATGTGTATACTGTATGGATTTAGCTTCAAGTCCCCCTCCAGTCCAAAATATGTTCCTACAGTGTGATGTTTGAGCTGCACTGTGCAGAATAGTGTATGAGCAGAGTTGGACACTAGAAGGATGTTTTCACATTCATCTGCTGAAAGTGGAAAGTTTCTCTGTGATCACGGAAAATCTGATTATAAAGGGTGGGGTCTTCAAGCAGGATTTGTGAGCCTGATCACAAATAGTTTGGCAGTCAATCCTGGTCTAGTAGTATGCAACTTTCAAGTGTGATGAAGCAACTTGAAGCCACCAGTGCACAAACACTAAGAATGGACCTGCCCAAACTCATGGACTGGATTTTTTAATGAGGAGTAGATGCCTTTTTAAGAATTTTAATGATTAAATTATACTTTATATAGGCTACCGGATTTATATACATCAGACATTGTTGTTTTAAGCAGACTATTTGTATATATCTTAACACATGTCTGGAGGGGGTCTTTAAACAGCGACCTGCTGATATGTAAGCAACACAACTGCTGATTATTATTTCAGAACCACGGTCGGCACCATGGACATGGAGGCCAAAGATAGAAGGCCAGTGAACACAGTTTGACATTGGATGCCCATGCAGCCAAACAGCCTTACACAATCAACCCACACCCACAACAACAAACCACAAGTGTGCAAGTTACCTGTGTGGCCTGAAGTTACACTACACTAACCAGGCAGACGCGGCGGTCTGCAACATAAGCAGCAACAAACAGCTCTATTTTTGAAAAAGCCAGCCTCTGTGACAGCCTGTGTCAACACAACAAATGAATATGAAACAACTTACCGGCAATGTCTTCACCCAGCAACGGTGACATTCCCATTGTAGCCCATGTGAAATGTCCAGTGTCCAAAACACGCGTGCTTGGCTGGTGGTGGAGCTACAGCAGCGGGACACCTGTCAGACATGGAGGGTCGGGTTGTTTGAGAGTGAGGAGACGTTTGTGAGCTGAGGCCACAACATTGTTTCTCTGCTCAGCGCTCCCCTCTTGTACTTTCTCCTCATTTAAACTAACACTGACAGAACACGGCTAGCTAGCTTACACACTGCACAAGCGTACACGCGCACACAGAGAGGGACTGACAACGGTAATGAAGATGCTCCGCTCTGGAGATTTGTTTGTTTGTTTGTTTGTTTGTTTTTACATTTTTATTGCGACGAACAACGGCGAGGGAAACATACATACAGCAGACAGGCTGCCAGCGTTTAAAACTCCCGGTGCTGCCTGTTTGGCAGACGGCTCCACTCAGAGTGGCGGGGGCCCAATTAAGGGGGTAACGTTACTACGGTGGTGAAATCAGTGACAGTACAAACAGGCCGCAGTGCCTCCGCTGGTGCTGATGGCTGCACACCGTCGGAAACCCCCTGGCAGCAGACACAGACGGGTATGGGGTTTTTTTGCCGCAAAAAGAGTATACTATGTTTAGAGTCCCTCACCACACAACAGCGGTAAAATACGTATTTTGTAAAGAAAAGGTAAAAATGTATTCCTATGTAAACTGTTCTAATGTATTATTATTGTTATTGTTGTTGTTGTTGTTGTTGTTGTTGTTGTTGTTGTTGCAGCAGTAGAATCAACGGTAACGTGTGTAATTGTCTCCTGCTACATCTCCATTCATAAACGCTGCGCTCCCTCGTGGTCACGTGACCAGCCTGCCGTCTAATCACGTCGTTCCAATGCTCTGACGCAGGAGATTCAAAGTTGGCAGCAACGTCTCTGCTCGGGTACTCTCTCAACCCTCTGTTTTCATCCGCAGCCGAAGCTTGTGAAAAGCTTATAAAAGTTGTATATCTCCATGTTTTCACACGCGTGAAGTGGGTTTTCACTCAGAATGGAAGGTAAAGTTATCGGAGCGGGTCCGTACAGGGCGACCAAGCTGGTGAGTCAGTTGGTATTAATATATATAACTTAACTTACTGTCAGTGGTAACGTTAGTAACGTTAGCAAGGCACGGTGAAAGCTTTAGTTTTAACGTTACAATGTAGGTAACGTCAAATGTTTCAAAGTTTAAATTAAGTAGTTAATTCATTTTCATACATTAAGTTAAGGAAAAATACAACGTAACGTTACTTTTAAACCGCCTAGTCTTACGGTTAACGTCAATTAACGTTGGCTAAGATGTTTACACGTATTCATACAGGAGTTAAAACATGTTATATCTTGTCCTCATGAAAAAAGAAAAACTCACAAAACGGCACCACTAATACTAAAGTGTGTCAGGAGTTCTGGACTTAACTTGTAAACAAAAGCAACTTTTTTTGTGGACACCCTCAAGTGGGTACACTGTAATGTTAGTATTATAAGTGTTTCATTTTAGTTGTGACTGTTTCAGAAATAACGTTATTCAGCATTTATATTCACCTCATTTACAATAATATTTGTAATTGTTTACATTCAGGGTAATTGCTAAGACATGTATCTACCAGATTCAAGGTAATGCTGATGTGTTCACTGTGTTCATGCATCGTGTGTAAAAGCATCACACACCAACATACCATACTGTCATTATGTGTGTCCAACCTACTGTTGGCTGTGGCTTGCCATCTTTAACCCCTATTAACTCCTTAATAAATGACTAATTACTGTTACAAATTGCAAAATCATGCACTGAATGTATATGTTGTAGCATGCATCAGCAGAATACACTAAATGCAAATCAGGCTGTTGTTGTATTTCTTAACTCCAGTTCGAGTTAATTCACCCATCCCATGTTACTGAGTTGAACTTCCCCATAGGCCTTATTAATAGCAGACATTTTGACTTGGGGAAGCACAGGTCAGGTGTAATGTTAATGGCAGGTAATGATGACTCTGTTCTATTTGAGTGTCCCTGTAAGTATGATGATGAGCTGCACAACAGCATGACCCTGAAACTGAAGCAGCCAAATGGAATTCAGCCATCATTACTTTGCTTATTTTCACCCGTGCCCTTCTTACCGTTTCATGTCATAAGGTCTTCAGTGAAAAAGGCCTAAGACTCTATATCTCTCATCTCCACGTCGGCAAACTTTATATCTCCTCTTTCTTGATCTTTCCAGACACAGAGTTTTCCAATGCTCTTCAAAGGAATAGCCCTACAGTATTTTTGATGTTCGCTCCAATCATCACACACCATCTAGTTTAAAAGGCACAACATAGCGGCCCCTGTGTCTGCCTAATTTATTCATCTACAGTGCATGCCTTTTTTTATCCTTCTCTCTGCCCTGTTCAGCTGTGTATTGTATTTGTGCCATCTGGAATTCTTAACGTACACAATAGTAAGAAGTAATATATGGTTTATGGTCTCAAATCCCCAAAGCCATCACCTTTTTTCCCTCCAAACATGGCTTTTACTTGTCTTAAGGTTTTTTAATTTTTCCCATTGCATGTTTTAGCTCTTTTCGAGATTCAGACCAGCCAGAGTGAGCAGCATTTGCTCTATACAGTTTGATACTCGCTTGGGCTGTATTAACCTTGTGTGGCCTAATTTCTCTCTCTCTCTCTCTCTCTCTCTGCTTTTATCTACTTCTTTCATTTTTCTCCAGCCCATCTGGATACTTTGTGAGATCTGATTATCCATAACCTCTGCACCATCCACTATGAGGACATAATATTCTATTTGTTGTGATACCTGCCTACTTTTTGTGACAAGAGGATATTGGAGTAGATAGAGTTGTTTCAGAGCGCACTATGAAATGAAGAACATGCACAGTGTTTTTATATTCCAGAGGGCTGTGTTTTTATCTGTCAGTCACATTAGGTTGTATGCATCTCCTTTGACAAAATGTTCCAAACAGCCTTCATAACATTGAAAACAGGATGTTTATGTGGGTTATTCGGGCTCTGTCAGAGTACATGTCATATCTAACAGTGTCTAACATCTAATATTTGAAAAACAACAGTCAAAAAATTTGCTATTTGTGGTATTAGCTTTTTTTTTTTTTTTTTTTTTTTTTACATTTGTCACACCTGTAATGTATGTCTCCCTGTTACGCAGTGGAATGAAACCATTAAACTCTTCCGTGGGGGGATGCCATTGAGAAGACACTGGGCACACTTCCGCTACTATGATTGCAGTTTCACAGGATCCGAGGCTGTGGATTATCTGCATGAGCTGCTGAGGCGCAACTACAACTTTGGGCCCGAGGTGACTCGCTACCAAACTCTGCAGCTCCTCAGGAAGTTCCTCAAGGCCCATGTCATTGAAGACATCAAAGGACGCCATGGGACAGAGGACTTTGAAGACAGTGGCCATCTGTACAGGTACTACTTTGTCCTCCTGTGCTGTTACTCATGTTAGTTGACACACCAGATTGCATCGTTGCCGCATCTTCACAGGTTGCCCTTTCCCCTTTCAGCTGAGCCCAGTGTTGTTATCTTTCTCCCCAGGTTCCCCATGCTCTCTCCCCTCAAGTCTTTTCCAACAAGGCCTGTGTTAAGAGACAGCAGTGACCTGCCCAGACTCATTCGCTGGGATGACTACGAAGAATTGCCTCAGCGTGAAAACATTGCACCCCTGAAGTCTGCTGTCATGGTGAGAAAGAGACAAGCAGATGTTTCAGCTCCTCCGGTGCTGGCTTTGACTCGTGCTGTGCTTGAAGTGGAGTAAGCATATGCAAACTTAATAGAGAGAAAATGGCAATATCAGATCATTTTGAGAGCGATTATTTTCATTTTGTTTGTGTTATTTACATTATTTTACACTCAAGCAACTTTTACAATACACTGAATTTCAAAAGAAAGGTTCAATGCAATGCAATGCAGTATAAGAGCCCAACAAGAAACACTCCTTTACTTCGGGTTTTCGATTCTTGTTCAGACTGCTGCTTTTGGTGTTGAACTCAGTTCTATTGTATATTTTTAAGGCTGTGTTGTGTTGGACAGCATTATATAGATGGGTGTTTCTAATATTGTGTGCACCACTGTTACATATACAGAGGAACAAAAATAGAAACTGGTAGAAACCTCACATTATGATAAAAAAAAAATCATACAAAATATTGAAAGAACTGAAAATTACGGTTACTATCAACACATCTTTACCACAATGTCGACAACAATTAAAAAAGTATCTTTATTATCTTTAACAATTTCTTACATTTACTGTACATTCATCTGATTGCATTATAATTGACTGTTTTGTTGGATTTTTGTTACACAGTGCTTTCTATGTTTCTGCTCACTTAAGTTAAAAGGAACTTTTTCATTCATGTCTCAATTCCTTTTTAATCAGACCTCAGACTTGTGGAATAAAAGGCACAGTGTAGCTATTGGGGATGTACATGAATGCAAGCTCATACGGAGGAAGGAGATCACCCCAAAACAAGTGGACCACATCTGGAAATCAATGACGGTTGCGCAGTATGTAACTCTTTTACATAACTTTTACATAATACCTGTACATAATATACATAACACCAGATGTTTGATGCCAATGTCTGTTGTTTTAGTTTGCAGAGAGTGCTGGGCCTAAAGTCACTGGATGGAGTTTTAAACCCAACACACGTGAACGGCAAGCACATCGTTCACAATGTGTTCAGCGTGAATAAGACGGGCATTGTCCTATTGGAGAACAAAGCTGGTACGATGCATCAATTCACAACTGGAGGAACAATTGTTTAGTTGCAATTTACAAGAATATTATGACATACCTATCTGTTCTTGCATCTCCAGAGGACATGCCATACTGGGTGATATCAGCAATGAAGTGCCTCGCCAATTGTAAGCTTACTTTTTCTGCTCACTCTCAATTAAGGTTAAATTAAAACAACACATCTGCTTTGGGGCTGACAGTGGGTTTAAGTACCTGAAGGACAAATGTAGAATCTCCTAAATGACTGATGATGAAGCTACACTTTATTTTTCACAAATGATGAGTACCATTTTATATGCATGTATTAACTGTATATGTCTTATTGTAATGCATTCTGTTACCTTTCTCAGGGCCTAATGGCAATGAAAGCAAACAGCCAGTGTACCCGGGTTTCGAGAGGGATGTTCTGAGAACAGTAGGAGATTACTTTCAGAGACTCAAAGAACCCCTGCTGACTTACCATCTATATGAAGTCTTTGTCAACATTCTCAGTGAGTGCATTACGATGTAGTTCCACTACTGATATCTGTGCACTTCTACAGATAAGCAGCTGCTGGTGCCTCTCTTCTCATATCTCTGCAGGTCTGCTGCAGGAGCAGGAGGTAGCCACTGAGGCTCTTCAAGTCAGCTGTCTCCTGCTGCCGCCGCCCAACCGGAGACGCCTCCAGCTTTTGCTGCGTCTCATGGCCCGGGTCTGCCAGAATCCCCACCTGCCTCCACTCAATGACACAATTGCTACCCGCACACTGGTACATATTCCTCACAGTTATTTGCTACTCATCTTTGTACCACATCTTTGGTTTACTGAGGTCAAAAAAGACTAGAATTGTTGGGAAGTCCGCAATTTTAGCATGTTAACATAGGGACACGGTGTAATGAACAAACAATATAATATAAAATATATAGTCTTGCAATGGGAGCAAGAGAAGAAAAAATATGTAAGCCAAGGGGCAGAGAGAAACTGGGAAGTATTGATTGTCCCAAATCCTTGCTAACAATTAAAAGTCAAGGGGATGCTGGACAACATTTTGAGGGAGGTGGATCACACTCTCTGCCTAAAAATAAACAGTGCTTTGAATCCAGAGTGGTCTGAATCTGAACATGTGATAAACAGACATAACAATTTACATTAAGTGCATAATACTTGCTACAAATTTTATACACTGTTCTTTATAAAAAATATAGCATATTAATGAAAACCCAAGTTAACATTATCTTTGAACAACTGTGGTACTCCAGTGCTAATGTTGATGAACTTATCAACATGAACTTATAATTCTCTGAAAGCAAAGCTACTAAATAGTTGCTATGTGCATTTTATATGGAAGTTGAAGGTTATGTACACATCACTAATCATTATTATGTCTCTTCTGTTAGTTGTTTTTCACCTCTCATCCTGTCTCAACACATTTGTTATGCTATGGAGAAAGTGAAAAGTGAGTCAGGGAGGGATACACCTCATGGTCACTGCATACTTTACAGCCACTACACCTCCAGACTTGCCCTCCTCTCTTCACAGAATCCTGACACAGTAGAAAATACTATGTAGTGCAGGGTTGCCAAACCTAATTTAGTTCATGGAACACATACAGGCCAATTTGATCCGAAGTTGACCGGGCCAGTGAAACCATTGCATAATAACCTATTAATAACAACACTTCCAAATTGTTTGCTTTCTTTTAGTGTAAAGAAGTCACAATTAATGAACCACCCGTTTACAGAATAGATGATGAACAGCCTGAGAGTCTATAGACATTACTGTCACTACAGGTGTATTACAATTGACAGATCACTGTGGATCTACAAAGGCACAAAACATTTAGTCACATTTATTTTGGAGATGAAATCAAGTATTAAAGGTCCAGTGTGTAGGATTAAGTGGCATCTAGTGGTGAAGTTGCAGATTGCAACTAACACCACTACGACTGTATTTGACGACCTGGGAATGAGAAAGGGCTGTGAAACCCACAAAAAATGTGAAAGGCCCTATCTAGAGCCGGTGTTTGGTTTGTCCCTGCTCGGCTTCTGTAGAAACATGGTAGTTCAACATGGCAGACTCCACAGAAGGTGACCTGCAGATACTCGAGTTAAAAAAGGCTCATTCTAAGGTAACGAAAACACCACAATTTCTTATGTTTAGGTGATTATACACTAATGAAAATGTTTTTCTAAATATTTGATTCCATTTCTGCCAATACATCATCTTAAATGTTACACACTGGCCCTTTAAAACAAGTAGTAAACTTATTTGTTTATGTGGTGGACAAGGAATAGCAGTGCATTTTATTGAAAAATTGGAATTTACTTCTTAGCAAAGTCATCAGTGGGGGCCAAATGATTGACACCCCTGATCTAGAGAATACTATAAGCCCCACCCCATCAGGAACTAAGATACTTTTTAAAACACACTTTCACTACATAGACAGAAGACGCTACCAAGTAAAGCCACTGAAATTCTAAACAAAAAGTAAAATTTTAGAAGATAAATGCATAAAAGTCTTTTTTATCATTTAATATGATACTCATCTCCTGTTGTGGTCTCTGTCCAGATGGTACAGATGTTCTCGCACTGCGTTCTGGGGTCAGTAGATGACATGGACTTGGACGAGCTGCTTGCCACCAAACTGGTGACCTTCATGATGGAGCACCACAACGCCATCTTCCAAGATCCTCGCAAGCTGCGTCACCAGGTTGAGGAGCACCTGTCCCACCTCAAAAGAGTTCAGGTCAGTGCACTTTCTTTTCTGACTTTACGATTCCTGTATGAATGAATTGATTAACACGGACGGTATGCATTAGGAGCTCTGTGCAGGTGGTCCTGTCCCTCTGCTTTTTGCATCACAGTCACGTTTCTCCCTCATCTGCTCCCTCCCACAGCCCATGTGTACCAAGCCATATCTGTGCATCATTTGCGAAGACAGTGTGCCAGATTGGTTTAATCATCTTGCCACGCACTAAATGTAGAAACATGGTACAGTCGCTGCTAAATTTAGATATTAATTGAAGCCACATAAAATCTGGAAGTAACATGCATTGTTATGTTAATGTGAGTGGAAAGCACTTGTCGCAGTAGCCTGAGGCACTAAATGTCCCTGTGTTTAGTTGTGGGTTTTTGTGTCCCATCTGGCAAAATGATCTCTTGGATTTTTCTTCTGTAGAAAACTGAGATGTGTGATATAAGGCAGCAGCAGGACTGAATCCAGACTGCAGCCTTATTGCAGGACGATCATGGGATGAAATTTAATTTACTATATGGAGGCAATTGCAAAAATGTAGTTTAAACATCAATATTAAATGAAAGGATTATTGCTAATCTCATATTTAAAGGTGGGGTATGGGATTCTGGATAACTCATATCCAAGCAAGTAATATAACTAATATTAGCTATTAAGCTCCCATTTATAGAGCCAGGGCTGTGAACAAACCATGGACAGGTACAAACACAGTAGTGTGCTTCCGTTCATGGGCACACACACGCTGTCCTTACTAGTTAGGCTCCTTTCATGCTTGCTAAGTAAGTAATTTCCCCATGGGATTATTAAAGTATATCTGATTCTGATAATAAGCCGTAGTGTGTGCGGCGAGAGTAGAGATGGGACAGATACGAGCATAATTTACACTCATTGAATTAGGACTGAAAAAATAAGGTGGATCGGTGCATCTGTAGTTGCGAGTGAGTGATACAGAGAGAGCTGCAGAGTGATGGTGAACGGGAGCAGAGCAGAGGATAAGGTGAGCTGTGAGGTTGTCAGTTTAGCAGTAAATGTACTGTGTATGTTACAGTTTGTCAGTGAATAAAGGCTGCAGCTCCTCAAGTCCAAAGTAAAGCTCCCGTGTGTGTGTGTGTGTGTGTGTTGTTCCCCAGCCGCCGCAGAATTAAAGGGGGTTATCGAGTTTGGGGGGGGGGGCAAGAAGGGGCTGAGCCAATCAATGTGCCAAGCCCAGCTCTACAATGAAACAAGATTTTACTAATTTTAAATAGAAAATCAATATGTGGCAGTCAGTGTATGGTGCACGGTGACCCCATAGTAACTCTATAAGCATTTCTTTAAATAGGAAATAGGCATGTGACTTATTTTCCATATAGCATGGGATATACAGATTTTCCATAGAAAATGTGCACTGCAGTGATCAGAATCCCCACAGGAGCAGGCAGTAGTGTGGGTTTACACATCTGGGAGAGGGGGCGGTAATGTTTGCAAATCCAGCAGGAACGGTTGGGGCTGGGATTGAAAAATAGTTTCAGACTAATCTGTGAGCTGGGACAGTCACTCTTGTGACACTGCTGTATCTGGAATTTAACAGAGACAGGCCTAGTGGCACAGTTTCTCTGCGATTTTGTGCCTTTCTTCTTGATTGCCTGCATGGATTGGAGTTTATTTTATTCCTCTCTGCACAGTTGGTTCATATTGATGCACGCATGTGTTTTCTTTTGGCAGGCATATTAGGAAATGTAGAACACAGACTGTATTGACGGTCTGTGCTCAATATTGTTTGGCCTACAAATGAAGGCCTGATTGATTTGATATTTCAGTCCAACAGTAGATGCATAAGCTTTCAGATCCCACGCTGTGAACGAGACAGAAAACATGAGTTTATGTTAATTGAACGCTGTAAATGGGATTTTAAAACTGTAGCCACCCTGCACAGTCAACATATTATTTATATTTACTAGTCGTAATAATTATCCTCATTAATCTGTTGTGGGGAACATGTAGGTGTAATAAGCCACCTACTCTGCTACAGTACCATCACTAAACCACTAAAATCAATGCTCAAAAATCTACAAGAGTTGACTATTTGCAGTTAACGTTTATTTTCTTACTCTTAAGTAGGTAAGTCAATAGCTCCAGGTTGCTGGCTGCGTATTTTTTCATAGTTTTTATGAATATTTATAAAGCTTTTGACCTTGAGTTGTGTGGGCTCATGTGGAGCTATTACCTCAATAACGTATTATTTATTGACAATGATGGCGCAGCAAATAGAGAAAATTGGGTGCAAATATGCAGAGTATCCCACTTTGTCACTACATATGTACATCAATCCAACCCTTTCTATGTGTCTTCCATCAGATTAAATACGCAGGATCAGATACAGACTTCAGTGCATCTCCAGCTTTTTGTAAACAGATCAGCAGGGTGGAGTCTGAGGAGCAGAAGGTGATAGGAACCCAGACCCCCCTGCAAGAGCTGCTGGAAGGCCTGATTGCAGACAAAGAACTTCCGGCCAAGGACAAGAGGAAAAGGCTTAAACAGGTATGGCTGTACTGTTTGGAGCTGGGAGGAGGTCTCTCTCTTTGAAGTCTTGATTGCCAAATACTGTACATCAAAATCAGACTGCTCTCAATCAATATGCTGCAGAATTTACATTTGAGCTATTCATGTTTAAAAATGTGCCTGTATGTCCAAGGCCTTGTATTTTAGTACACATAATGATTTAATGATGCATATCCTCTGGTTTCAGTTCCAGAGGTCGTACCCAGAAGTCTACCACAATCGATTTCCCACTGAGGAAAGCAAAGCTGCTGTCATACCTGAGAAAACCCCGCGACTCAAACCTCCTCTCATGTTCTTTAATATCAAGAAACCCTTCCAGCCCTTTCAGAGGAGCTGGAGTTTTAGGGCATGAGCTGCCACCTCTGACAAATCTGCACTTCAGGCTGTATACACAACTCAACCTCAGTGTCATGAGATAAGGAACAATGTGGCTGTAATGGTGCTCTGGACACAATTCTGGTCACAGAATGGTTACACTATAATTAATGTTTAAAAATAATGAATTAGACTTGCACTATTAAACTAAGATAATAATTTAAAGGGTCAGTTCACACAAATACATTTAACATTAGTAATAATGATAATAATAAGACATTCCCATTGTGGATGGCTGCACTGACCCTTTTTAAGAAATAAAATTGTACTTATTGTGTTGCTAGAAAACTAAAAGTATAGGAAACGATCTAACATTAACACTGAGTTTCTTAATATGAAAGAAAAAACTGTGTGTTGGTACAATTTCTACCAAGATATTTTATGTTAGAAAGGTCTAATAAGCAAGGATGGTGGTTGACTGACACTGCCATTCCTCTACCTAAATTGAATGAAATGCATTTCAAAAGTATTAATAGGTTATTAGGTGTTAACATTAATAGGTTGTGAAAAGTGAATGATCAAAGCGCGTACTCTTAAATGTTAATGTTGTTTTTTACTGTAACAGAAATATTCAGATGTATTTCTTAAAGCGGATTATGTAAATTCATGAGCTTGACTCTAATAATGCAAGGATGCATTTCATTTTCATGGTTAACTTTTTGATGTTGTATGGCCATTATGATGTTGAACCTAGCCAATTCAAAGCCTAATCTAAAATCCGTCAATAAACATATCAAGGGTTTGCTAAGAAAGTGAAATGTTACTGAAAAGCTCTAGATGAGCGGATTATTGCATTTTGAACTACAAAAAAAAAATCAGGAATGAGGGAAACATCTACAATGCCTAGGTGAAAAGTGTAGGTTGCATTTTCTGTAAAAAGTGTACAACTGCATTAATATTTTTTATCCTGATGACCTGAATCCTAATCTCATTAAAAGGGAAAAAGGGTGAAAGCAAACATTTCACCTGCTGAAAACTGACACCCCTTTTTCTCTTATCCCTCCCTACACCTTACTTGACAGTTCCGACTGTGTGTGCACTGTAAAAACTCATTTCATGTTTTTACTTGTTGGTTTTATTCTGTATTTAAGAACTGTTGTCTTGATTGGTACATATTTCAATGTCTCAAACGTTCTTACTTCACTGTTTTCAATGTATATCGTCATTCTCTGTTACCTGCTGCTCTGTCATGTCAATCAGGTTGTTTTTTACTTAATTGACTTTGTTTCTATTTTTATAATGATTAAGTGCTGATGTTTCTATATGGATCTTCCTAAATGCTCTTGAACAAATGTAATAATGCTGGAACAACTGTTACACTTGAAATTGCTGCTCTGTGCTGGAAAAAAATCATCAGGATAAAATTGAATTCATGTTTATGCTGATTTTGATATAAAACTATTTGGCAAATGTAACCACTTTGTTTTCCCTTTTTTTAATGGAAAAACTGAAGAAGATGAACCACTCATAGTCGATGAAGAGTTCAGGAGACCTTGATGAATTACACAGCAGAATTTGAAGGTTATCTCTTCTCAGGGATATGTAAGAAACCTAGACCCACGAGCTCTACTAGTGTCCCAAATACGGTCATAACTTATGCAGCTATGTGTGAAAATCCAGTTGGTGTTTCAAAACAAACTCTTAGCCTACCTACGCTATCCTAAGTTCCACTGAATGACACCCAGAGTTACACACAACACATGAAGGAGACAGTCAGATTGTCTGTGAGATTGTGCCTAACCTTGGTCTTCCATAGCAAAGTAGAACTACGATATGTTGGGTGACTCAGTGTTCAACCTTATCAGCTGCTCTGTGTGCTCTAGTCAGCCAAACAATCAGAGAGGAGGCCAAATTCACAAAGAAGAGGGACAGGCTGTGACCTGTGACCTTGTTTAGGATTGTAGACAACTTCACAGCGGTATGGGGAACACTATACTTATATTTTTTATGAACACTATTTTATGTAACCCAAACATGAACGTAAGCAAAATGCATCCTCCAGATAGGATTGGAAACTGAATTCGGTAATATTTGCATCATCACCTACTGCAGAGCCATAATGACTGCAAGAACATAAACAGACACAGTATGAATACTGTTGCTGAATAAAGTCTGGAAAGCTCAGAGTCACACATAGCACACATATACTTTTAAAACTTCAAATGATCAATTAAAGGCAATAAAAGCGCCCGAAAAATAAGAATAAAAACTATAATTTATGTGACATTTTAAATGAATTTAATCAATTATTATCTCATTATGCTATTGATGCTTTTAGTACTTTGGCTGAATTGAATGGCTTTGTAGTACATGCACAGCATACATAATCATCATAATAAAGTACAAAAGGACATCAAACAGCATAGCAGAGAAGGACCTTGAATATTGCTTTTATACATTTGAAGAGATTTGAAGAATTTATTTCTTGCAAAAATACTGCCATTCCCCATTATTAAGCAATGCATATTTGCATTTTCCCCAGATAAGCACTGGAGAATGAAAGAGTTTTAATTTTACAGACGACCTTTGGTTGTCTGCTCTGTTCCCATCATCTCTTTTCCCCTGCTGTATGCACAAATGAAAAGCTTTTAACTGATGATAATCATACGGCATAACAGAGATTATATGAATCTACAGGGTGACAGAGTGACAGTGAGATGTTCAGCTGCAGTCGGGAGGGGGGGGGGCAATGCTTCTGTGTGACACAACAAAAAAGTATCAAGTCAGCAGCTGACACCTGCATGATTTTGCAAGGAAACATCCCACGCAGTAAACACTGTGGCTCGTATACGGAGGTGGACAGAAAAGTTCAGTATCCCACACAATTCATCACCAGTAATATGTGATGATTCACAGAGTTGAAGTTTGTGAGTTTAACATTTTTATGCAGTAATAGCACTTTTTATTCTAGTCAGTTTCCTTCGGTTTTGCGCATGTGACTACAATGATTGTGTATTGGGCTTCAAATATGCAGCTGACCTATGCACAGTACTGTGCCAGAACACTTTCACTGCACCGCCTGTGACTACTGACTACATAGTTTACCTAAGCAGGGACTGCCTTTTCCAGTGATCCATTATTCTGAAACCCCAGTAGTCCAAAAAAAAATCCGATAGCTGGAATGTGTCTTATTATGTTTTTGCAAAGGTTTGTGAGTTGGAGTTTACCAAGAAAATGTTGCTGAATTCAAACCATTTTCAATTCACACAGACTAATTTTGGCCTTAATTTGCACCCTTCAAAGCAATTTGACATTGCGGTGACCTGATAGCAATCATGCCACTTCTAACATTTGCTTTGTTTAGTGTGAATACACTGTTAAATGTACCTGTCAATATCACCAAGTTGGATATGTGCAGGCAACTGTGGAAGAAAAATCACAATTAAACTGCTGGATTCTGCAACATGCATGTGAAAATGAAACATAATTTTGATGAGGAAGATGCACCATGTACTTGCTAAACGTTCCCAACTGAATAATGACCATGCGTCTCTGGAACGATCAGCAGAGGGGAACCTGAATACTGGATGCAGACTCAAGGGAAATGGAATGAATAAGACAATGGTTTGCAGAATTCCAGGGGATGAGGGTGGATGGAGGGGCAATGTCTCGATGGCGCAGGCATAGGGGGAAGAGGGGAGCTGGTGGCTGGTGAAGCATGGCAGAGCAAGGGAAAAGGCTGGATGTGAGCATGGCTGAGCAGCAGACAGGCAGGCAGTGACCCTGTGGCACAGAGAAAGACACAGACTAACCAAAATAACATTATGAGAAAATAACTTGAATGCACAATTCAAGGGGCCTGAGACGTGAACTACCACCGTGGCTGAACCAGCGATCTGGCTGAAGTAGATGAAGAAACAGGGTTGAGTAGATAGATTGCAGGTATGCGGGTTGGAGCAGGTTTGTAGGTTGAACAGCAATCAGAGAGTCTCTCTCACACACACACACACAGAAAAAGAGAGGAGGGTTAGGGTTAGCTGCAATCCACAGAATGGTACTCAACCAAAAAAATTACCACCAACACAGAAAAGTGCAATGGAACGGTCATTGAAGACGGAAACTTCGGCAAGATCTGTCTAGCCCGAGTTTGCAATGTGGTGGTGCACACAGTCAGTAGCAGAGGTATGGACTTGAGTCACAAATTTGATGACTTTAGACTTGACTTGGACTTTAACACCAATGACTCGTGACTTCACTTGGACTTGAGCCTTTTGACTTGAAAATACTTGATACCTTCCCCAAAGGCCAAAGATTCAAAAGTTATTTAAAAAGTGTGCCACAAATTAATTTATTACCATTCATATCCAAAAACAACTAATATTAGCACTTTTCATCCCCAGCAAGTCGACCCTTAATTAGCCAGACCCACTTTGTTTGAACCAATCCAACAGCATCCACAAGAAACACGTAATAACTACAGACATGCCCGTGGCCGTGACAGCCTCTGCAAATCCTTCTCCCCTTTGCTGTAAAAAATATGGCCTAGTTTGTGTCAGAAGCAATGCAGATAGATACAGGAACTGAAGCGAAAGACCGGTCTCAGTATCTGAAGGGCATCAAGGTTGAGGAGACCACTCAGGGAAATTTGGTTATAAAACCACACGTTTTAAAAAGCCACTGAACTCTAACACCTTTACTGTAGCTATCACTTAATGATTGCAGATCTCAATTAAGAGGTCTTAGTTATCAGCACACTAATGACTCTCTGGAAGTTGTCATCATGTTGCTAATGATGTAGTAATATAGAAAAACCTGTGAAATTACCATGACTAATGAATGGTGGTGTAGAGAGGTCTGTGGTCAATATGCTTATATTATGCTTCAAGTCTTAGCAGTGCATTAATATTCCAGCCTGTGGGCCTGCTGATAGTACAGTAGGTGTTCCATTCAGGGTGATTGGGAATAGCTGATGTCTCAGCAGTGGAATGAAGGAGAGGGAATTAAGTCCATCATCAGGGACCTCTTCAGCACTTTGTAGTCATGAGGGCAAATCCTGACCTGAATACAAAGCAGTCAATTTGCTGTCATGCATCAAGATTGTATAGCTGGCATTAGCCTTAAACCCTGTTCAGGGTCATTCAACATATCTGATCTTTCGGGTGTTGCTGACAGGGTCTCTTATGCAAATTAAGCCCAACTGACAGCCAACCCAGAATACAGAATACTCCCTGCTATAAATGCTTAAATGTTAGTACTAAAGGGAGTGCTTCCAGGCTGGGTTAAAGGCTATGGTCCTCACTGTATGCAATCTCCTCTCTCATAATGTTCATGTATGTTTTATTTGTGTGCTACAGCTTATAATCACATATACAGACTAGAATGCCAACATGATGGCAATTCATCTTGATTCTGTAAGGAGAGTAAATTAAGTTAAATGGGTACATTTCACATCTGTCTTGTTCAGTTTCGAAGCTGTGAAGGTGTGTCCATATGACATTTCTTTTGGTATTATTTGGTGTTAGTGAGTCAGCCCATGCTCTCTAGTTGGGTAAGCCCATGCTGTTTCCCTAATGCTTTTCTGGGAATAGACACGTAGCTTTGGTAATTGGTTTTTCACTCTGGACTTGAAAGCAATGCAACACAGGGAGAAAGAAAATCCTGCTGTATGTGTAATATTTTCCTCTATCAAGTGCAGGAATATGTAAAAAAAAATAAAAAAAAAATAAAAAAAAATATATATACATATATATATATAAGAACATGAAATATTGGTTGGCAGTTTTCCTAGTGCTGCCAACACTTATTTGTTGGATTAACTTTACTGACGAATGCACTTATCCTAAATTAAGGGGAAAAAAGATCTTAATTGATTCAGATTTTTTGGCATGCTGTGCACTAAGTCTCTACTAATCATGCATCTGTCTGTGTGAAAGGGCAAATGTGCCATGTAGTGTAAAAGCGCTTTGAGTGGTCGGAAGACTAGAAAGGCGCTATACAAGTACAGGTCCATTAGTTAAGTTCAAGTGAGTGCACTGCAGGAGCTAAGACTAGCAGGAAAAAGTAAAAAGTGCAGTAATTTAGGAATGTGCAAGTTTCAGGGAGTTAATGGCAGCTTATATGTGCATTTTAATGAATAAGTTCAAAGGTTAAATTCAGATATATATGCTTGGCAATGGGTGACCTTTTCAATCCAGCACTCTGTTTTGATATTGTATCTCCAGTGTGCACCGCTGCTCAGTCAAGCCGAACTTGAACCCATTCTCACTCCATCAACGTCTATTACATAACAGCCAATTTGGAGGAAATGAGGCTGCGTTGTCCGTACATGGGTAGAGTTTGTTTATGAGTGAGTGAGTGAGTGAGTGAGTGAGTGATCTTTTAGTCCAAGTGTTGATCGCTGCCTCACTCGAGTGTTTTTCTGTTGGGTGCAGGGAGAGTGCTTTTTGTCTCTTACCATTTTGTGGTGAAAAAACCACAGTGTGAGTGGCTCTGAGCTTTTGTGCTGATCTCAAGGTACAATTGTATCTCCTTTCTTCACGAGAAAGAAATAAAGAAGCTTTATGTAACAGATGGCTGCAAAACACGAGATGAGATGAAGTGTTACTCCTGTATTCTTCCTGATTATATTTCTTTAATGAAAGCAGAATCAGTTCATTAGTTTTTAATGAAAGGACAGTTATGAATCATTACAACATTGTGTAGCTCTACTATAAAATATAAGCCTATGTAGCTATAATACCTCCGGGTGAAATCTGTCATCATTAAACCCAAGCTGAAGAAGTCATTTTACACCGATGCTTCATACTTCTTCACACCCTGTGAAGTTTTTTGTTTTGCATGTGTTATTCAGGGGCAGAGCTGCTCTTATAAGTGGCACTGACGTCTGTTTGATTAACACTCGTGTATTAGTCAGCTTGCAATAAGTAGGCAGCTAAACCTACTGGCAGTATCAGCCTTCTGTGGCTCTTTGCTTAATTACAGAAACAACCATTATAGAATAACTGGCTGCAGTCAGAGAAGGATCATGTGGGAGTCATTTAACATCAAGCTCAACAAAACCTGTCATCATCGCTCAGATATCTGCAAAGTTCAGGCAGAAAACATATGTCTGCATAAGTAATGACCCAAATCAAAATGCCCTCTGGAACAAGAATATTTTATTCATTATTTCCCATGGCGCTGTATATTTATCAGGACACAAACCCAGGTTAGAGTCAGACTGGCTGACTTTAAATTAATTGGATACACAGAAAGTATGTGACCATACATATTGCTTATACTTGGCCAGCAGAATTGTGCGTGAAGGTAAATATCTGATTGAGAGCTATAGACTTAATGTGATAACTTGTAGAATACGATGTGAGAACTTGTAGAAGAAAAATCTGAATAATTTTATCTGCTTGATTATCATGTAGAGATGGATACTTATATAGAGTATAGCTATGCAAAATCAGGAGCTGTTGTTTTCTCCTGGCATTTTTAGACGGAAAGTCTCTTTATGAGTAGATGTAACTCAATCACTGGATCACCATTAACTAGGCACACTCCAATACTTTGTGTGCTGTCATGTGACTCAGATAACCCTTCAGAGTGAGGTAGTAAGTGAAAGGCAGAATGGATGACATGGAAAGATGAAAGCCCGTACTGTGCTAGTCCCAGTCTACATGTGTGTGAAATCTGGAGTTGGGATTCATTCATTCTTAAATTGTGACTAAAAAACATGTTTTAGGTCACAATGACCTTTGACTTTTGAGTCAAAAGTGTCACAAAAGTGTAAAATATGGTCAGATTCTCCCCATTCCTGAGTAATGGTGTTGAACAATTGAATAACAGTGACCTTTATGTTTTGTTTTTTTTTTTTTTTAACCTTTAAGTTAAAAGTGTACAATGTGAAATATGGTCATCTTAAGTTCAAGTTATGGCCAAAAACATGTGCCGGCGCTCACTCTGCAGGTGATCGTTAAAATGAGACAGGAACATCTGAGGGTGCATGTCCTGAGTTTAACTTTATGCCTTGATTTGCAACTTACATCCCAACACACCCTTCTCTCATGCACACTTAACACCACTGACAATAGTCTGCCCTACAAAGCCAAAAGACCTTAACTCGCCAGTGTAGGGAACTAAGAAAAGTTTTTTGTTGTCCAGCTAAATACATTGTATGCAAAATATTGGAAATGTGCTATTTCTTTGTGTTTTCAATGAAGTTATTTATCTACAAATTCTACTACCTGAGGTCAAAGTTTTGATGTTAAAGTAATCTGCGTTTGTATTGTCTTCATTATAATAATGAGGGTCTTGCCAAAGTAAAGCAGAGCTTCCATTTGATCACTCACTTGGTTAACTATCACTATATAAAATCAGCCTAAACTAAGTAATTTTAGTAGATTGCCTATTTATCTCTGTTTTTCTTGTAGCCTTAAATTGAATTAATATACTCTAACTTTAACTCTAAACGTTATTTGGACATCAAAGTGAAGTTACTGTTGTGAACTGTGCTGGAGTTACGGTGTTACACCTAAAGGCAAAGTACCTTAACAGGGTACCATAACACAGTTGGAAGTGCAGTGAAACAAAGATAAAGAGCATTAAGTGATGTTGAGGGATTCTGCCTTGGTTTTTCTAGGGTTCTTGGAAGTTAAGGCAAAGACAACCCACTATTTTCTCCCAAAAAACAACAAAATTGTCTAAAGATATTTGTCCACATGATAAAGCAGATCAAATTGCATGTTCCTATTTGTGTCTCCTATTTGGTGTGGTGAGCCGGGTCATAACCGATGTCACAGTGACCTCTAATCTAATGTGGGTAAAGTTCAGTTTTACTCTTTATTTCATCGCATTCCATTCATTAGCATCTTTATTAATAGAGTTGCCCTAAAAATAAGACCCCCTCTTGCTAGATATTTACTGTACAAGACATCATGGGAAGGCTGTTTCCCCAGACCTCTTAGGCATCATTGAGTTGATTTGATGCCAGGAAATGCACTCCACTAGTGTGTAATCAACAACACCAAACTCTGAGGGGAACCCAACTGGTGGGAGCCTACGCTGCTATTTTCTTTCTTTTGGCCACAACCCACTGTGACAGAGAGACAGGTGAGGGTTGTTGTTTTCTACCAGCAAGGCTGAATAAAATCTCCTTTTATAAGTGTGAAGGCCCTCAATGAGGTGTCTTTTTTTTTTCATTTGCGAGAAAATAATGAGGAATTTAAAGAATGCAAAGCTGGTATTGTTTTTGAAATGAAAGGATTTCTTCAAGGAAATGCCACAAAGTTTAATATAATAATAGTATAAGTAGCAATGCATAAAGACACAATCAAAAGCCTGGATATATTTTAAAATAGCATTCAGATAGAGTACTTCAGAGAGCTGTAACTGTTTTTCACATGTTGCATTTCAAGCACAGAAAGATCCACCAGACAAGAAAATAATCTTTTTCTTTTTTCTATTCTGGTAAATGATTTGATTTAAACAGCACGGCTGAATTAATACAAGAAACAAGGTTGAAAAGACACACCAGGCCAACCTCAGTAAAAACACACAAAGCACTGAAAAGCTGTACAAACAGTATCATCAAAGTGAATGAATAAATAAAAGCTGAAAATATATGAATCCCTCAAGAAACCTACACTAGGAAAGAGCAATCTTTCTTGAATGTCCTCGCTCAACAGCATGCTCAGTGTGTGTTTGCTCTCACATACTCTTTTTGATGTCATGTTTAAAGAGAAATCCTCAAGTTTTTTTTCGCACAAAAAAATGAAATGATGTCTATAAAGTTGTGAAAATGAAAGGTAATGCTTTAGAATACAGCAAATTACAGTGTAAATGTTTTGTTCTTGTTAAAATAAATGATGCCATAACTTATTCTTAATGGAATAACGACACATATTTCCTGCCGTGTTACCCAGTGTTAATTTTTCTGCACTCTACTCAAACACAAAGCTGCACCCCATATTTGTCCTGGTATAGGTGTGCAGGAAGTGTTATATTGATACCTCATATATACTAAATAATTACACTGTAATTTGTGGGCTGTAATATAAAGTGCTACAAAATCAAACGTTGTATTTTCTGATGAAAATGTATTCTTTTGTTCATGTGCTCTGTATATATTTCGAAGCACTATTGGTGTTCCACACTGGTATCATTTTCCACACCAAACAGCAATGTCCTTCGCTCCTCCTGGATTAGATTTTCATGCAAATGTCCACATTTAACAAAAACAAAAAAAATCCTCAGTCCAGTGCGGGAATGAATGAGAATCACCATCTGCACAGTCATCACTAAAGTGAGCAAAGTCATCAACTCTCTGGGAATAATCCTTGACTCTCACATCTGAGATCCTCGCTGACAGGGAGGATGAGCGTCTGCTGATTGGACTGATTAGTTCCTCCTCTCTGGATGAAGTTGCTGTTAATCAGTCATATCAGCTGCTGTTGCAAAAACCTGCAGCACGGGTTGCCTAACCTCAGGCAGAAAACATTGAACTGAGCTCGATCCTTTTTATGTAAGAAGTCAATAACGGGCGTGCCACATTCCTTCACAACTTCTGAAGATGTACATAAAACACTGCACGATACTGTAGGTCCAAGTTAAAAGGTCTCATTGTGTAGTTTGAATGCTTTTGTTTGAATACACTGAGATAAAGCTGCTGTGTGGAGGCTTGGCACATTACATACATATGGCATACAACATCAGAATCCTTCATTTCCACAGGAGCGCCTATTAGATTGTTTTTCATGGTTAAAAAGACGGGTACCGGAAAGGGTGCAAAACAAGCATCAAGCTTTATACGTCCAACAGCTCAGTCATACAGCACGACACAGTCTGAAAACTGTCAACAGAAGAGCCAAATATAGTGACGCTTTTACAGGCATATGTGAATATCAGCTTCAGTGTCCATAATATTTACAACTAAATCTATTGAAAATACAGGCTTTAATCATACTGGGTGCAATGACAATGGCAGGTGTTTTTCTTATCTACAGTGGAAACCTTTTGTCAGGAGTGTTCGGCAAGTTATTCGACAAATGTAATTACATACTTTACATTACATTACTTTCGTTACTGCCACTCAAATATGTATTTTAACAATTCCAAAACTCCACATGCACATGTTGCAACAAGGTGTCAGCCTACACTTTTTTGTACTTTGCACTTTTCGACAGTTAGCTTAGCCCCGGTGACAGCATGCAGCACTCCAGTGTTAAGCCAGCCTTCATTTTACTCTTAGATTAGTCTAATGCAAGTTAGACACTTACACAGAAATAAGAATCTTGTGTGTATTCTGCATTGGTTGGTGACTGACTGACCACTCTGCACTAAATGCTAATGTAGTTAGCTCTAACTTAGCTGAAAAAACATCAGCTGTATCTGATGTGCTCTGGTTGAGACATTTTCCCATGTGCAAAATCTAATGTGGGTAAAGTTCAGTTTTACCCTTTATTTCATCGCATTCCATTCATTAGCATCTTTATTAATAGAGTTGCCCTAAAAAAAGACCCCCTCTTGCTAGATATTTACAGTACAAGATATCATGGGAAGGCTGTTTCCCCAGACCTCTTAGGGATCATTGAGTTGATTTTATTATGCACAGTTGTGTAAATTCAGAGACAAAAAGTTTTTTGTAAATTTTTTAGTTCAAGCAGAGGCCAGTAGGAGTGCCCTGACAGCTCAACTGGTAGAACTGGTGCTGGAACCATGGGTTAGACTCTGACCTGTGGCCCTTTGCTGTGTGTCATCCCCTCCCCCCCAAAAAACAGAGGTCAATAGTGAATGGCTGCACCTACTAAGGTCAGTGCAACGCAGTGTCAGACAATAGTGGGGCAACAACTGCATGCTTTAAGAGCCCTGTTTCCATTTTAGCAATAAGTGGCACCTGCTGACCAGTGGCACAGAATGACCAAAAAGGTACTGAGCCCTTCCCTTGCCACAGCAACCCAGCTGTGCTACAGGTTAGGATTTTATGCCACAAGAAAGTTTTTTGTACTGCACTCAACATTACAATTGTCTCAGTAAAATCTCATTGTAAGCCATTGAATTTCTCCTTAAGGGCAAAACAGTAAAGTGAGGAGAGCTAGACAGCTTTGTGCAACAGGTGAATTTAGACATGTATTTCACATCTAACTATAACTTAGATTAAGATGGACATCTCCACTCCCTCCTACTAAACAATAATAAAAACTAGTCACTGTAATCCCCGTTCACACACCTTCCGACTCTGAAGCGGGTAACGATAGCAACTGAGCCAGTTAAGTATAAGTTACAACATGTAAATTGTCTGAATTTCCAACATATACATTTTCAACAAATTTGGAGTTGAAGGAGTTGCATTTTTCTCTTTTCATAGAGACTAGCGGCCTACCCACGCCTCCAAACTCTGCATCAAGCTAATCAAGATTAACATGCACCAGTTTCTCCACTTAACGCACATCCCACCATCTAACTCCCGGTAAGACAGCAAATGATACTGACTTTTATTAGTTTTGAAGTCTGACAGTACTCATATGCCTAATGTATTGGCTTGTAAATATACCGTGATGTGACATATGTAAATAATGTCTACAATCTAATAAGTTTCACTTTAGAGAGAGGATCCTTTTCCTAAGTTTCCAACTCCACAGGTTTTTATTATGAAAGATGAGATGCAGGAAACAGAGACTGATCAAAGAGGGAGTAATCACGTCGTGCAGCCACAGTGGCTTGATCTCCTCTGGTCCAGGTATAATGAACAGCGCTTATGTGGAACAGTGTGCAGCTGCAGCGATATCAAAGCAAACTAGGTAAGCATACTTACCTACGTCAAAAAATCCACACACCCACTCATGTCTGATGGCTCTGTCACTGTGACTTTACATTGAGTTTCAGTGTGACAGTCACCATAATTTATATTCATGTCACCAGTCAAACGTTGGTGCAGTTAGTCGAGGGCGGAGTGTCCGCTTTGCTGCGAATCTCTTTGATGTCGTTGAGGGGGGAGTCACTGGTGCCGATCTGGCATTTGAACACCTGCTTGTAGGCCTTCCTGAAGTTCTCTGAGAGGAAGGCGTAGATGACTGGGTTGACAGATGAGTTGCTGTACGCCAGGCAGTGGGCAGCCACCCGTAACACGAAGGAGGCCTGGTTCAGCGGGAAGGTCCCAAACTCCACCCACAGGTGAACGACGTGATGAGGGAGCCAAGAGAGGCAGAACACCACCACCACCACCAGGACCGTCTGAGCAGTCTGGGAACCACAAATTAGGAACAGAGAGATGTAGGAGAAAGATTTAGTAAGTGTCCTCAGGGACAACAGTGACAACATTAATGCTGTACACAGGTTTAAGTCTATTCAGCATAAAGGAATAAAGTTTTTAGAGTTAAGTGCCTAGGATAACTTTTTTCTGTTTTCATTCTGCTGCTCTATTTGGTAGTCTTTATTCGTATTCCATGCACCTACACGAGGGCTAAGTTGGGCAACATGGCAGTCCTCCAATCTTCTTTAAAGCATGTTAATAATGGTTTTTGTCATATCATCATTATGGCAAACATGTAAGCAAACAGTTGCGTATTTAGACATCCTGCAGATACTGAGCATCATTAACATCCATTTGGAGTCACATTTCTCGCAAAATGGTGAAAGTAGGTCCAAAGTTCACTCGCTTTTAGCTCTGTTTTTGTTTTGTTCACCAACTCCTGAGAAATTCATCTGTGTCTTTAGCTCTTTAGCTACATGACCCACTATGTTTACCAGCTACTGCCTAACCCTGTCCATCTGAATATGTGTCAAAACCATGCGGCGCTGGACAGATATTTGGTTTCATTTTTATATCTGAAGCTCGCTGAAGCTGGACACAAGGTTGATAATGACAGAGCCGCGGGCTGAAAAACCAAAAAAATGTTAAAAAATTATATCTGAGAATAACTGCAGACTTAATAATTCTTTATGGATTTCTTACTATGAGTAACACCTTTCACATTGCACATAGTCATTTTATCCAGTGATAACATAAAAATATTGATTAGTGTTGCTTTAAATTGACGACATCGATATTAGCTCATTCAGGCCTCATGAACCCTTTAATTGTATTACATTAAACCGACCAGTACCACATAAATCACATTATCCTTTTAACATTTCACTCAGCAGATCCAGCAGCAATTCTTTAGATCTTAACCCTCATATTAGGATTGACCATGATGCCAATTCTTATATTTATGATTTATTTTCTTGTACAGTACATAGATGACGAGGCACACTTGTGGGTGGAACAAAACAATGCAAAAAATCTCTCTAATCCATTTAGTACATCTCATTCCAACAAACAAAGCTACATATTAGGGAGACAAAGAGTGTAGGTCTGTATTGAAGCTTTGTCCTTGGGTCTATAGACGTTTAACAATGGCAGGAATGAAAAACGTGAAGTAAAGAAACTATGTAAGACGTCAACAGAGAGACCTTGCTGCATTAACAGATCATTCTGTTCTGCTGCTATATACACGAACAGCAGGTGACATGTTGTCTCTTGCAGTTGACATCTAGAACCTATCCTCACCTAAGAATAAAAAAAAAGACAATTTAACATAATGTTCTGAAAATGATGACCAGATAAGTTAAAAATAAGATATGATAACTTAATGTGACAATCGTGGCAAATCAATTTTATGGAACGTCTAAGAGGAAAGTGGTGGATGTTATTACTTCAGGCAAGACTATCAGTAAAGCCAAAGGCTACAGCTGGAAAGGTTCGTAATAGAAAACTAATTACATGCTGCCTGATCTGCCGAGCCCCTCCACTGCATTTCGAGGTAGCAATTGGATATATTCCACAACTAATTAGTTCCCATCATAGAAAATAAAAGAAATACAGAGGAGCCTGACAAATTAATTACAAATGTAGCTTTCTCTGTAGCTTTGTTCAAGTAAAGTTAAAAATGAAAACATGCCAAAACAGTCCAGTATAGCCTTTTGAGCATGTAACGATTGAGTTGTTGATAGTTAAGATATCAAGCAGGGAACAGTACAGGAAGAGTGATGCAGAAAGAGGAATAAATACAGCCTAGCACAAAACGTAATGCATTGTTATCCAGATATTAAGAACATACTTATTTTTGACCTATACATTTCTGATGGCCAATGTTGAATTGAAGCTGCTGTACTGAGGCTGTAATAGTAACCAGAATCTACAATAAACAATTGAATTGAAATGTAAGGTTTCCAGTACTCTATAGTTCTCTTTGAAGAGCACAGAAAAAAACACTTCTTTCACATAGTTTGAAAATGTGAAATACTTGTATCTACTTGTTCAAACACTTCAGTGAAGTGAAATATTCCTAGATGAAATCTTTTATGGCTGCGCTGATATATGAAACATCCGTTTCAAAAGTCTCTCAAGTGTCATATTACACATTAGAATTACATACTGTATTCAGAAAGTTGCATTTCTTTGAACAATCATAGTCAACGCAACATTTGTTTTTAACAATGGCACCAACAAAGGGTTGAAGATGTTATATCTGTTTTTGTACCAAAAAGTGTTAAATCAAAAAGTGTTTTCTGCTTTAGTTGGCTAACAAGGGACTATCTGATACTTAAAAGTCCAGTGTGTAGGATTTAGTGGCATCTAGCGGTGTAGTTACAGATTGCAACTCCGTCGCTTCACCCACCCTTCCAGCGACAGGGAAGAAGAAACTACGAAGACTGCAAAAAAAAAAAAAAAGAGCAAGTATGTGGTTTGTCCCTTCTGGGCTACTGTAGAAACATGGCAGTACAACATGGAAGACAACCAGATGCTGTCTGTAGGCTTATTCTAGGGCAAAAAACCTTTATTCAGGTGATTAACATCCCTATGAGTATTATATTCCATTTCTGCCAATAGATCCCTGTAAATGTTACACACTGGACCTTTAAATCAGGAAAGAAAGTCACTAAGGAAAAAGACACAGGGAGGTTACAATGTTTACAATTAAATTTTTCTAAAACACAATTGTGAACTTTACAGCTCATACCAAAATTAAAAATGAACTGTGGGTACAGTTGTAACCTAGAACTCATAAGCAGTATGACAATAATGATAACATGTCTGTGCAAATGTTTGAGCAGTCTTTGGAAAGGCTCCATGAAACATCGTATCAAATTCACACAGTCGAGTGTTGATCAGTTTTACAATAAACCTGTAATGAAACTGCACCTTATTGATCATATTAGAGATAAACGTCAAAGATTGCACCATATCCGATTTGAAATGAAAGGTCAATATTGGCTTGAGATATCAGCTCAAGCCCGACTGTAATACACAAGAGCATGCACACACACACACACACACAGACACACGTACACGGACACAGTAGCCAGTGAGAGGTTCCCACAGTTTTAGTGGAGCAGTATGTTAACCATGCTTTGTTTGGATAGCCGCCATAATAACATATTCATATCTTCACCTTGACCCCAGTTAGGCTAATATAAACAGCACCATCACCACAGGAAGAAAGAACTAATAAAATTCATGCCTTTCAGCCTCTCTTCTCCCCTCTCTTCTCCAGCCACACTGCCTCTACTTGTAACCTTGTTTTGTTGAAAGCTGTTGGTTGGTAAATAATTGATTAAAAGCTGTCAAGATTCATTTTTAAGTGTCACAATTTAGTAATGTATTCAAGTCAAAGCTGGATTTTAGCAGAGAAGACATTTCTACATAAGCGAAAAAGACGCAAAAAACATTAAAACAGTTGTGATGTGCAAGCAATTCACAGCTCATTTCTGCTATTTACATAAACAACAGGCTATATGTATATATAAAAATGTTATGTAAAACGTCAGCAATAATCATCAGATTTTGACATCAGTGTGTCAGAATCAAAGGGGGTCTGTCTACACTGTCTACAGCCTGCAAGAAGAAATCCACCAGTTTAACAAAGTGCCAACCTCAAGAAGTCGCTTGGGGTTTGTATCAAAGCTGCCTCTGAAAACAGCTTCAACAGACCAGAATGCATTGCAGCTATACTAGTTGGGTTTGGAGGAGGGTCCATTTGCAGACTTCACATCTGGGCACTACAGGCCTACGAGCCAATATGGATTTCACTACAGTTATGCCAATAATGGTACCTCGGCACATTGAGATAGCAGTTGATGACACTAAAGCTTCTGCCAGGTGCCATTAAACTACTGCAGGAGAAGAGGGCGCGACAAGATGATGTAATCAGAAGTGTGCCAGTTAAACCTGGAAAGATGGAAGACCTTGGAAATATGAGATTTGTTTCATGTATTTTTCTAAGGAACCTCAAAGTCTCCTCATCTGTCCACACAGATGTGATCATCTGTTCTAATCTGTGTGAAAGCTTCAGTGGACTTTTAAGTCACATGCTTCATGAGCGCCTTGTTCCTTGGTTTATTTTGCTGTGCATGTTTCAACTGCACTTCTCAACCGCCCAACACAACGTTTTTTCTATTGTCTCAGACTTGTCTCGGACTCGTTGGTATTTACCATGGTTACTAGGCAGCCAGTCGTTATCACTGGAATTGCATTCCTGGATGCCAGAACTCATCTCACTGGGAATGGCAAAAGAATTGACTTAGACTCGAACCTCTTTGGATTCAGCCTTGACTCTGTCTCGACTAGCCTTGGTCTTGGACTTGTCTTGAACTCAACAAAGGTGGTCTTGACTACAGAGAGGTTTAGGGGTAGAGTGGAGAAATCTTGTTTAAAACAGTTCTTATGAAAGAAAAAAATGTCAGCAAAGCAAAATGATGCACTTCACTGTTGGGGATCCTTCCTATTCGCTTACAGACCTGGGGTCTCGAAATGAGACGTCTTGAGTCGGACCCTCATGTGGGTGTGCGTTGTTATTGGTACTTTAAATGACTTTTTAAGCCACAGTGAAATTCATTCAGTTAGCCTAGTAAGACTCAGTTCAGATAATTAGCATTTACAGATGCTGTTAAACAATTTCAAGATGACTTAGCCAAATATTCATTTTCATAATTATCTATAGCCATCTGTGTGCTCCGTCTGGAAGCCTGACTGACTCATATAATTGAGAAAATAATCTGCTAGTCCTACAGTACTAATTATTGGCTTTTTAACCTCTGGTTCACCATTGAGAATCCATTAAAACATTATTGTTTGCCAAGTAAAATGAACTCCAACACTCTGGTATTTCCAAGAACATGAACCAGGAGACAAACCCAAAAAAATCATTCTTTATCTGAACAGGACATAAAGCTAGGGGGGAAAGAGATTTATTTGTGGCGGGTTTGTCACATCTTTGCACAAAAAAACGAAAGTATAAGGAAGATTTACAACTTTTTTTTTAGGTTTGGCTTTTGAGAGTGTCTCGTTTGGCTGTTGGAAGCTGTCTGTTTCCTACTGTGGGTGCCTGAGAGTGATAAAAAGTTTGTCTAGATGTATTTCACAACAGCAGTGGGAGTAACCTTGCTCTTCCCAGCTGCCAGTGAGATTATATTTCACAAGCACGAGCTGCCGAGACCTGAGTGAACCACACAAAAGCATTGATTAAACACTTATTTGGACAAATTCTCTCCGCTTTCCACCAAGGACACTGTGTGGCTCACAGCAATTTGTTTTTTGTCTCATTTGATTTTTTGTGTTTTGTGAAAAGCACCGCTTGCTTGTATGACATATCCGTTAATGCTTTAAGGCGGCACATAAAAGGATATGATGATACCATCCTCGTAATTAATTGATGAAACTACTCTGATTTTGAAAAAATCAAGACTTTCCTTTCAGATAACTTAGTTTAGGCTTTCACGAATAGTTTCATATTTTGAGAGATAAGTTTATTTGCTTTCTTGCTGAGAGTAAGATGAAAGGTCGATATCACTCTTATGTCTGTACAGTAGATATGAAACTCCAGGAGATGGTTAGCATAGATTAGCAGACTGAAAACAGAGGGAAACAGCTAGCCTGACTCTGTCTAAAGGTCATAAAAGTCTGCCTACCAGCACTTCTAACTGTGCTTTCAGACAGCAACCATCAAGCTGTCTTTGCTGCTGCATTTATGATAGTTTGTTTATGAGAATTCAGTGCTCATTGTGTGAAATGTTATAAGATATTATTTAACTGCTACCTTAGTTCCCTGAATTATACATCTCTTCACCAGTTCGTTTGGGACAATTTAGCTGCGTGATGACATAATACTTTATATATAATAATTATAATTATACTGGCAACTGTTCGCTGTCTGCAAGCACCTTAAAGTTCACTACTGACCACGTTAATAGCTGGTAAACAAAAACGGAAGTGGGGCAGAGAAGTCTTGTCATTAACATGAGATCGGTAGGCAACCAGCGGGGACATCAGGAAGTCACTACTCCTGGCCAAGAAATAGTCCCTCACATAACGGTCCCTAAGACCACAACTTTTGGTTTTTAGACTTCGGTTTTTATGTGTCGTCCAATATTATGAGCTTTAGGGTTGAATTTTATTAAATGAACTGCATTTATGTAGCACTAATTTGCCTCACATTTACACACACACACACACACACACACACACACACACACACACACACACACACACACACACACACACACTCACTGGCCTGCCCAGCTGAAGCCATTGGGGTTCAGTGGCACGGTCAACTGAACACTTGGACAGATTCAGGTTACTTGTTTCCCTTTCCTTTATGCTTAGTTAAGCTAATCCGCTTCTGGCTATGATTGATCTTTTCATCTAACTATGGACAAAAAAGCTGTTGGACACTAAACAGATCAGCCAGGTTAGCTTTTTACCTCATCTCAGTTAGAGTGCAGAGAAAGCAGCCAGGGAGTTGAGTCATCATGGGACCTGTGACAGGACAGGAGTCCATTTTTTTTTTCCTCTTGAAAATGGGTTTTGCGTGGCAGGTTTTTCAGTGTAACTCTAAACAGGTTGCAGCCAATGAATGTTAAATAGTACAAAAACTAACAACAAAGTGGCTGATCTAGTATATGCATGTGTATTATTCACTGTCTGTACATTATGCAAAGAACAGTGCTATACTGCACATTCTTCTTCTTATCATTATACATTTTCCTTGACACTCACTGGACAAAACCGAGACACGCTGCCAAGTAAACACTGATTTTGGCACTGGCATCATACTTTATTTTCAAAAAACATAAATCTACTTGTTGCAGCTTTCATTGTAAAATGATTATGTTTGGCAGCATTACACCAGTTTGTCATACCATACACAGATTTAATATGTGTGCACAAACTGAACCTCTGTTCTGATATTAGTTATAGTTTAACAGTAGCTACCCTACCATGGTAATTTATGTATTACAGGCTGGCTTTAATGCACTGTTTGCCAACCGTTTATCACAAACCTGTCAGTGCAATATTCCCTCTGTGCATTCTCCATCAGCACTCAGTGCACATAGTAAATCATTAAATTCCTGTTTCACCTTCTGTACTTGTTATAAGCCTCATGCAATAAAAGCATTTATGTAGGGAGGTATACACCAAAGCACATTTACATTCTCATCAGCCCCCCCCCAGCAGACCGGGGGTCTGTACTGCTAGTTTCCATTATCAGATCGCCCCTCAAAACTGACTAGCTGTGAAGACAATGGACAGATGGACAGATCAGCAATCAAGCGGGCGACAGCAGATAACTGGCTCTCTGGGAAGCTAAATGACTCCACTGAGAATAATGCAGGCTAGATGGCAGTTTGATTGCACAATGCCTTTTGGCCACTTTGCTTGAGTGTGCCAGTTAACAGTGAGCATTATAACATTAATATTCATCATTTTGGCCTTAAGGAGAATCAGAGATGGTGGAAATACTTCTCTCTGACCGCCTGTTGAATTGGAGGAAGTGGTACAGCATGTGGTACAGACATATAGTCTAGTCCCACACTGAATAATGTGTGCAGGACTGTGGGGTCAGTGTAGCTGTGATATATATCTTCCTAAAGGCCAAGAACATTGACCCCAGCTTTGAATCAAACCATATGTCAGCGGAAGAAAGGACTGCAGCTCTGTGAACCGTGAAATGCACTGATCCAGATAGATGAAGGGCATTTCAGTAAAGGTACAACTTGCTGCCTTTTCTTAAAAATGATGTAATGGGTGACGTTGTTTATCACTGTAATCATCGTCATTAGCAACATTATCATCACCAACATGACAGATATGGGTGTAATACCCCATTCAAAGGTTCAGATGGTCACTGTAATGGGAAACGTTTTACATAATGAGTATTTTCAGGGATTTAAGCATTATTAACAGACAATGAACCTCAACACGTGCCATGTCACATTTTTCATTTTTTGAAGTCCTGGGAATTTATGTAATTCTGCAGTAATTCCACAGGTGATGAATCACCCCCTCTTATCTATCTGTGTTATTTATTGTTATGTTTGTTACGGATTACAGCCGGACAGGTTTGCTGACGTACGGATGTCATCCATGACATACAGCCCACTCACAACCATCAAAAAGACAGATTAATACATACCTTTTTCTTTGATGCCTCTGACTTTTTGGAGACATTTCTTAGTTTTTTGTGCAAGTGATTTAAAACCTGTAAGCAAGGAAATAGAGGACAGGTATAGTTTTGGATGGTTAAGTCATTTCCATAATTATCAAATGACCCATGACCCACGTGGGTAGCCCTCCTTACCTTTGCATAACAGAAGGTAATCAGCAGCAGGGGCAACACATAACCAAAAACAAACGTGCAAACGACATAGACTTTCTTCTGGTTTTGATCTGGCCACACTTCCCAGCAAAAGGTGTGATTCTCGCCTCTGTGAAAAATGTTCTGGTAATACATGACAGGCGCAGCCATGGCCAGAGACAGTATCCAAATCACCACCACTCCGATCAAGGCATGTTTGGCCACCCGGATTGAGGAGGACTTTCTGGAATGGACGATGGCAATGTATCGGTCCACGGACATGGCAGACAGTGTGAAGATGCTCACCAGCATGGACACAGTAAAGAAATAGTGGATGAATTTGCAAATGAAGGCGCCCAGGACCCACGTCGGCATCATGTAGATGGTGGACTGGAAAGGGATGCAGAAGAGCAGGTAGGAGAGGTCCGCTATGCTCAGGTTGAGGATGAATATGTTGGTGGTGCTCCGTGGTTTCCCTGGTTTGCTCCGGGCCAGCACGGTGATCACCATGGAGTTGCCCAGCACACCGAGCGTAAAGATGAGCCCGAAAACCAGCAGCGTGATGAAATTATCCGTGCCGATCCCGAATAAAAGTTTCTGGTCCTCTTCCTCGGCTCTGCTCACGTTCCACGACTCTTCATAGAGCCAAACGGGCTCTGATAAGTTCATGATGTCTTTTTTCCCCCCCTTTTAGATGAATTTGAAACTTTGTCAAAATGACCTATGGGAGGTCTGTGTCCCGCTGCTGCTGCTTCATGACACAGTTTTAAGAGCAAGGGTTTTGTTGGTCCGGTGCGTCTCCTTAAGCGCTCACACTGTTTGTTTTTTTCTGGGTTTTTTTGCTTTCTCGTGTCTTTACCCCAAGGTTTCGGTAAATCCCCCGCTTTATCCTGATACCTCACATTAGTAATACCTGTAAACACATCTTTCAAAGCAAACCTGTACAGTATGCATCAGTCTTGCCGCTGCGCGTCTTGGAGTCTCTCCTGGTGCGCACCTGATGTGTCTGCGCACCGAGCGCGCTGATCCACTCTGTAGCCTAGTTCTCTGCGTCTGGACTTTCCCCCTCACATTATAGCAGGGGCTGGGCTGTGCCATTCACGTCACACTCAGTGTACCACCTCCCAAGAAATGCTGAGGGGAAAAAGTATATTTATCTGGATACGTTTTGTTCCCCACGTCTCTGAAACCATTCCTGTACAATTTGAATGCCAGAGGCCAAAGTCATTTTCTTACTCAGACTCAATTAGTTTTGACACAGTACGGCTTGGGAGCAAATGTTAGTGTGATTATCCGCCTGGACTGTCAAAATTCTTTATTCCACAAAACAATCTCGTTCGGCAGTCTTGCTATGATTGCTTTATTTGAGTTTCATTCTCTTTTGTCATAAAAAGGAAATAAGCTTTCTCAAAAGGCAAAAACGTTCAGTGTTGTCACTTTTTGCTTCCTGTACACGTTATTTCAGCAGTTAATATGCATGGAATGAAATATGTGTGTAAGGGAAGGATGGTGGTGTCATTGTACCATGAGAGCTGCAGTGTGGAGGCAGGATACTGTAGAGTGAAAGTGCAGCATTTTATGATCAACATGAAAGTCACATTAAAAAGAAAAGACGGAAGTTTTATTGCTTTGCAGCAAAGACCCACACACCACAAACGTGCTAATAATAATGTATTGTATTTAAACAAGCTATGGTGTGCTCTCTCAAGCTGCTACATGCTTCCATAAAGATCCATATTGTCAAGTTAGACACCAAATATATGGAACAAGGCTTTGGGTCACAAATTGGTGAAGTGATGACTTCCTACTTATAAAAAGCTTTAGGATATAACAAAATCATTTAATATTTACACAATTCTTATGGAGAATATAACACATCCCTTGGGTGACAAAAAATAGATTTCTAACAGACATCTGAAGAAATCATGAGATTCAAAAGAGGACAATTCTTCATCAGTTTTTGATGAAAGGGCACACAGTGCTCTCTCAACATGAGCTGATTCCCCAGAAGACTGAAGGGTCATTTTGAAGCCCCAGTTGAAGAACTGTTGATGACATTTTCATGTGTGAACTATTGGCTTATTTTTCACGGTGATGAAAAATCCTCTGAGTTGAGCTTATCATGTCACGGTTCCCTGAAAACATACCATAGCAATAATATCTCCACAAACACAAAGAGCTGTCTCTGCCACTGCCATAACCCGAGCTTAGTCGATTAGCCAGACAACCTGGCCATATGCACTTATCTGATCAGTCAGTAGTGATGGGGTGTGTTTATTTTTGCTTGAAAATGACTTCATATTGTGAGCATGTTTAATTGTCAGCTACAGTATGTGACACAGCCCATCCATTAAAACCCATGAGACGCTAATAAGCTCAAAGACATTAAACAAGCATTGCACTATATTTGATTTGAATTGAACTGTTGTTGGCACCATCTTGGGGCTCATTACTGTGGTGTTTAATTGTGAACTAATGATGTATGGATGTTATTCTGACACTGCTTAAACCTGCAATAAGTCATTGCTTCGGCCACTTGTGGGCAGCAGAAACAGTATTGATTCTCATCTTTTAAGCTGATATGGTGAACAGTTGCTTATTTGAAGGTCCAGTGTGTAACATTTATGAGACTTTTTTGGCAGAAATAGAATGTAATATACATAACTATGTTTTCATTAGTGTACAATCACCTGGATATTGGAAGCGTTATGTTTTCGTTACCTTAGAAAGAGCCTTTTATATCTGCAGACGTCCACCATTTTGAACCGCCATGTTTCTACAGTAGCCCCGAAGCAAAAACTGGCTCTAGATAGGGGTGGTTGCGTTTTTTGTGCGTTCCGTGGTAACAGTATTTTCACGTTCATGCTTGGAAGGGGAAGGGTGAAGCGAGGCAGTTGCAATCTGCAACTACACCACTAAAGCCTACACACTGGACCTTTAGCTCTGTTTTGTTCTCTACCAATTCCAGAGGAATAATCTGGATCTTTGACTGCTAATTGCTCCACTGTGTTCACCAGCTATTCGTTAGTGACCTTTTGACCCTGAGCAGTGTACAGGGGCTTTTAGAGCTGCCTGCTGCAGCTTGAAACAACGCTATGAGAGCGGTGAGATTGAACCAGAACAGTAAAGTTGCCAGACAGCTAAACAATGAGCTGAAATTTACTATCCAACTCCATAAAATCGAGGGGATCTGCAGATTAGGTTATAATTCTCTGTAGGTTCATCACTTCTTTCACATTGTTTTTATACGTTGTTTCTATTGGTGAAGGTTGTGTTTCTGTAGTTGATGTTTTCTTTGTCTTTGTTGGTTCAGTTCTTTTTTACGAACAATCCTGAAAAGTTGAACACAACACTTTCCAGAAGAGACCGCTCAACCATAAATATAAAATGTCTATTTTATATTAATTACTCTTGACGGTTGCAGTACATGTTTTTTCTTTTTCTTACTATGTTTATTGTGACGTTTCTGCACCAAAATGGCTGGAAAACCTACTTGGCAATAAACAGACTTCTGATTCTGATTTGACACAATGGGTTTAGAGCAGCAAATACAAAAGGATTGCCTCAATGTCAGAAGGCACGCTGCTTTTCACTGTCCATTGTTTGCCTTTCTACTCCTCTGCTTTGTTTCCGATTAGACTCAGCTGTGTTAGAAGAAATGAGACGGGTGCAGGTTCTCCGAGCTCTGCCGGTAGTGACGGCAATGGAACTGAAAAGCGTAGGTAAAGATGGCTCAGGACGGAATAATTCAATGGTTTCTGTGCCTGTCAGACTTTCAGAGCCCACAAGTTCAGCTCCCTGCTCGCTGTGCCTCCCAGCAAACAGAAACAGTACTGACAAGAGGCCAGACAGCAAGCAAAGTGGAGAGCACACACATCACAACAGCCATCCATCCATTTGGACATGATTAGATTGAATGTAACCTCTAAATGGTCAGTATAATTGTTATTCAAAGGTCAGACACACAACAACAACCAATACAAAACAAACAGATGAAAGGTTATTCTACTGTAATATAATAGAACATTATTACATTAATCCTATACATTGTATACTATACACACATTTTTTTGCTGTCAACATCTGTACCTGTATTCTAAATATAGGATATGTTGAGTGTCTACTTATTCATTTCCTTTTCTCTTTGATATTATTTATTTGTTGGTACCAAAACCCTGTTATTTTCTCTTTTCTTTATAAACATTTTTAAGGGTACTTGAAGGATATCTTCCACTAGGTGGGGCTATTTTATATTAAAGAAGTGCATTTAAGACTTCTTTAAATCCAGCTGTGATGGGAATCTTTTGTCGACAGCTTAATGTGTATTTGAGTGTTTCAGCCCATCTGAATGACTGTTACTGCTGCTGCTGTCTCTGGCACTAATTTCCTCTGTGTGTTTGGTGGGTAGTCATCAGTGGAAATAATGAGAACACTGTACCAGCCAATTTGATTTAGCAAAGTGACACAGGTTAATCTCTGTGGTTTCAAACAGCAATTGCATATACAGCTCCAGCATTTGGGGATGCATAATCACATTGGGAATGTGCCCGTACTGTCAGTTCCACACAAACTCATGCTGTAAATGCAGTTTTCTGCTTGTTTTGCCGCAGCAATTTGTAAGGGTTTCTTTCAGCAGAGGATGCTATTTTACGAATTAGAAACGTTGTCTCTGTTTTGATACTATCCCTGAATCGAATCAGGCGTGCTGCGCTGCACATGTTTTGTCACAAAGATAAAGCAGGTCAATTTTAAGGATTAGTGTACTGCTTTGTCAGATAAAGTCTTAAATGAAAAGGTTATCATTTATTGATGATTGTGAGTGTTCTGGCTTTGAAAACTAAAGTAATAAAGTCTTTTGATTGCTTCCATCTGTCAGCACAATCGTTAGAGACAACAGAGAAAGTGGTCACACCACAACTTCAGGCGAGCCTTCAATTAAAGAGTGTGTTAGCCGTAGACAGATATTATATTGGGCTTTCAACAGGCTGAATGCTATTTAAGTGTTTTACACCATGTGAAAAAACACATTCAGAGGAAACTAAATCCTCCTAAATATTATGTTTTCTCCAGAAAAGCTAAACCCTTATATTTTGGGGTGAACTTTTGTGGATATTCTGAGTATCAGCACCACACATCCTTTATAGCCAAACCATACAACCGTAGCTATCAGCCTTATCAGTCAAACCCTGAGTGAGAGAGTCTTTGTGTGAATGATTTGTATTTATTGCCATGCCTGGCAGTGGTCGTGGCTTTGCTCTCTGTGTGAGATGTTATCTTGGCGTTTTCCCCCTTCTACGTGATTAAACCTAAAAAGGTGAAACCAGGCGATATTCAATATCCATCAGGTTTCTTGAAGGTCATTAACCAAATGTGTAGAGATAAGAACTGCTCATAAACGCCCTAAGCTGCCCTTTGGGTGGAAGTACTTTTAAACCACATTTTCAGTAACCCTCACCATTCAAAATGAATTTATGTCCGCATTAGTAAAATGAGAGAGGTCTCATCTTTAAATGAAAGGTACTGAAATCTCTTGGATGAATACTTAGGTCGCTGCCTCAATTACTTTGCCAATTTTACGCTTCCTGTCACCGCTTCACGCTTGGCCAGTGTCGCCGCTGCTTGTGGGTGTTTTATCAAGTCTGTTTTGTACAAAAACATCAGAGCAATTTCTCAGTTATATATTAATTGTTTTGTAGGCTTGTTTTGCATTTAATCACTTTTATCCATTCACATACCACAATCTATGTCTCAAGTAAGCTGGAGCATCTGGTATAGGCATGGATAGGCCAGAAAACTACCATTACCTTTCAGACAGTACTAGAGCTGACATATAGTGATGTATTGATGAGTCAGCCCTATGAACCGGCTCTTTTAAGTGAATGATCGGAGATGGCACCCGCCTGACAGACTTTGTTTCCTTTAATTAAAAACATGAATACCAGACAGAATAATGGAATGAACCTATAAAGTTCAGTACTTTGTTAAATACAATCCAGAAATGTCTCACTTAAGTAATAACCAGTGTTGGGCAAGTTACTCAAAAAATGTAATAT